TCCTTTACGTGTGTAAAATAGACAGTGAAATCACTTGTGCTACGTCACCCGTCTGCTTGGGCTGGTGGTGGTGGGGCCGGCCATCATGACCGCCGCAGTGCAGCGTGCGCGCCGGTGCAACTGACGCCGCGCCGCGGCCGCCCGCCAGCAACCCACCTGCTGCCACTGGCGCCAACGCGTGTGCGCAGGCTGGCAGCTCCTCGCCGACCAGGTGGTCAATGCGGCGGCCGGGAAGGACGGCCCCACCACGATCGGCAGCGCCGGCAGCGGCGCCCGCACCATGTCCGGCTTGAGCGGTGCGGCGGCGCAGCCGGTGCACGAGAGCAGCCTCGGCGCCACGAGCGAGGCGTCCACCACGGACTCGGCGCCCAGCGCGGCAGGCAGCGGCACGGGCAGCGCGGTGAACATGGTGGTGACGCGGCCGCACCAGTGGCTGTATAAGGAGTACAAGCTGCTGGAGGAGATTGGGTCGGGCGGCTTCGGGCGCGTGTGCAAGTGAGAGAGCAACCGCCTGTGGGGTTCCCGGGATCTGCTGCGCCACACGCGCTGCCGTGCCGGCGCGCGAGCGTGGGCGTTGGGGCCGCTTCGTGCGGGGTGCTGCGGCAACTGTGAGGCTTGGGACTGCACGCGACCCTGGGCGCCAGGGCCAGCCCCGGCCAGCCTTCACATGTGTCGTAAGCGTGTGTGCGGTGGCCCCCCATGCACGCAGGGCGCGGCGACTGGTGGACGGGCGGATGGTGGTTGTGAAGGAGATCAAAACTACTGCCCTCACGCCCAAGCAGAAGGTGGGTTGGCGCGCACATGCATGTGCCCGGCGCGGCCCGGTCAGGTCATCCCTGCCACCCCGCAACTGGCGGCCCCGCGTGCGGCCCCAGGCGCGCCGCCCGGCCCTGCGGCTGGCGGCGGCCGCAGGGTGCTCTGGCGCCCCGACGCCCGGCGTGCGGCCCCGCTCCCGCGGCGGTTCCCCGCCCTGAACGTGGACGCCGCGGCCCCCCCCCCCCTAAAAAAACCCCTCGCTCTTCTTTGCCGCGCCCGGCTCTGTCGGACCCTCAGGCGGCCACTATGGATGAGGTCGAGGTTCTGGCTAAGATGGACCACCCCAACATCGTGCACTACCACGACTGCTTCATGGACGAGGTGGGCGCTGTTTGCAGAGTTTGGTCCCTGCATGAACCCACGCGTGCGATGCACGTGCGAATGGTTCTTCCGCACCACAGGAACACCTCGGGTTGTCTCATGCAGAGGCTCTTACAATCCATATGGTATGAAGGGCTTGCCCTGGAATGCACGAGCGGCTGCCGCGCCCCGAGCACATGCGCCCCGTGCTTCACCCGCGAGGCGCCTGCACGGGCCCGCCGTGGCCCGGCGCGCCCGGCCCCACACCTGCGCCCTCCGGCGTCGCCGGTTTGACCTTGATGTCGCGTCATCGCCGCGCCGCCGACTGGCAGGTTTACATAAACATTGTGATGGAGTACTGCGATGGCGGGGACCTGACACGCCTGATCAAGGGGCGCAAGGAGAAGGGGGAGTTGCTGTCAGAGGATGACATTATGGACAAGTTTGTGCAGGTGCGTTTCTGGCGGGTCGTCGGCGGGCGCTTGCAGCTGCCGGTCGCGAGCGCAGCAGTTTGTGATCTGGGAGCCGGGAGCTGGCTCATCTTGACTGGGGGTGCGCGTTGCCAGGAGGGTGATGTGTCCTCTGCAGCATTAGCACGGTATCCAACTGGATTGAAAACACATCACATGCACACAAACACACACACACACACACACACACATAGAAAGCAAACACATGCGACGGCGGGCATACACACACACACACACACATACCCCGTGCCCTCACGCACTTGGGTCGCCTGTCTGCCCCACCGCCGCGGCCAGGTGTGCCTGGCGCTCCAGTGCGTCCATGCCAAGGGCATCCTGCACCGCGATCTCAAGCCCTCCAACGTGCTCGTCACATCAGGGGGTCTGCTGAAAATCGGCGACTTTGGGGTGTCCAAGATATCAAACCAGGGTGGGCGGGGGCGCACGAGCCCCGCGGGCGGGCGGGGCGCGAGCCCGCAGGGTCTGGGTCGGGCGCACGCGCCGCGCAATGTCGGCGGCAGCGCAGCCGCAGGTGCGGGTCGGCGAGCGGGGCGGCCTGCGGTTCTGCGCACCGCGCTCGCGACCTGGCTGGTCCCTCAACCCCCGTGTTTGGGCGCGTGTGCTCCGCCCGACTTCAGCACGGCTGCCTCTGTTCGACCTGCTGCAGACGGGAGCATGGCGTCCACCATTGTTGGCACGCCGCACTACCTCTCCCCTGAGATGTGTGATAACAAGCCCTACGGTCGCAAGGTGTGTGAATTCGTGTGTCCACGCGTACGCCGACTACCATAGCATGGGCTCCGCCGACGCATCCGCTCCCCCCTGGCCCCTCCCCCTGCTACCACACACGCCACCTGCACGGACATCACTCCCGGCACCACTCGCCGCGAAACATCCCACCCCCCTCTCGTCACCAGAGCGACATCTGGGCGCTGGGCTGCATGCTCGTAGAGCTCTGCACCCTCCAGAAAGCCTTTGACAGCAGCAGCATATCCAAGATCATCCTGTCCATCATGGGCGGCAAGTACACACCGCTGCCGGACAGCTATGGCAAGGAGCTTCGGGGGCTGGTGGCCGACCTGCTGCAGGTGTGTGTTGTGTGCATGTGCTTGTCAGAGTGTGTGTGTGTGTGTGTGTGTGTGTGTGTGTGAGAGAGAGAGGGACAGAGCACATGCTTGCACGGGTGTGTTCAGCAAGCGGCCATGCAAGTTTGGTGGTCGTCCCCAAGGCGGTGGTCATTTTTGGTAGCTGCGCTGTTTGTTCCGGCACACGTATCGGCATTCCGTCGTTCCGTCGTGTGCACCGGTCGGCGTCTTGTTGTGTGGCTCCATGCGTTGAAACACACGCGCACGTGCGTGCGTGGGGCACGTGCTGACGGACGCACCCTGGGCATGCACCTCAGCGCGCGCACCAATGCACGCACGCACACGCGCGCGTTGGCGCGCGCGCCCTGCCTACCTTTTGCAGGTGGACCCCTCCACGAGGCCCTCTGTCAGCCAGATCTTGCAGAAGCCGTACGTCAAGTGAGTCATGCCTGCCGGGGCAGCGCGGGACGAGCATAGGCCGGACCGCCGGCTGCAGTGCGGGCCTGAAAGATGGGGGGCCCAGGGGCCCACCTGGGAGGAGACGCCCGCAGATCCTCGATAAGGCATCGTGGGGTCGCCAGCCGCGGACCCAAGCACGTTGAATGGGCGCCGCACGCCCGGCAGCAGCGCCTGGCTGTTGTGGGGCCTTTGCTTCCTCCCGCCCAGCCCTCTGCGGATCCATTTCCCGCAACTCGTGCCCGTCCGTCCGCCCGCCCGCCCGCTCTGCATCTGTGTTGCGTCTCGCCCCTGCAGGCACTACGTCCAGCGGTACCTGCGCTGGGCCGCAGTCATGCCCGATGCCCAGTTCGAGGTCATCCTCCTCGGCCTGCAGGGCAGCCAACTCGAGCGCCCCCACCACCCGCCCCCGCGCCGCCACCACGTGCGCGCCGGCCCCGGCGGTGACGGCGCCGACGGGGTGCCGCTGGTGGAGCGGTCGTCGGCGTCGGCCTCCGCCGCGTATGGCGGCGCCGCGGGGATGGCGGCGGCGGCGGCGCTGCTGCGCGCGGAGCTGGGCGGCGGTGGAGGGGCCGGGCCCGGCGGGGGCGGCGCCGCGCACGCGCACGGGCGTGGCGAAGAGGCGGGGCAGCAGCAGCACGGGGAGCGGCACCACACCCCTGACGACCGCCACCGGCGCCGCCGCCACCATCACGAGCAGCAGGACGGCGGGCAGCAGGGAGCGCCGCAGCTGCGCCACCATCACCGGCGGCACGGGGCGGGGG